ACATAAAAACACTTTAGAAACTAAGTTAAGTTCAAGCTGTTTTTTAAAAAAAAGTGTTCACAGTTTAGAACTTGCCACATTACGTTATTATTATAAAACACTTAAAAGAGTTCAAGGTTAAGATGTGAAGCGCACGGACACCCAGGCACACACGCAACTGAAACGGATGCGGGAGAGCGACGGGACGGCCGGACACAGCGTTGGGTACCTGCTCCGCGCCCGCAAAGGCGTGGTAGAAGCATGAGACGTACGTCATGATGGCTCGCTCATCAGGTTTGGGGGTGTTCACAATGTCTGAAGGGGGAGAAAATAACACAGGACACAGACGCACAGACGGACGAAGAGGAGAAACCGGGGAACAGAGGAAAGAACAAATTGGTTTACACTGACCGATTCTCTGCGTGTTTCATAGGCCCACGATGCTGAACCTCAGCAAGACCATGAGGCATAGAAACGATCGTGAAAAGAATGGTTTGAATCGGCAGCTTTCTTGAACGATCAAACTGAGGGCTTGTTTCTTCCTCGCCCCCTTGATGAGTTTTTAAAAATGCATTCATCAGTGCACTCGTGGGGCACCCGCCTGCTGCAGGCCGGAGCTCGTGACCCCTTCCGCCTGACTCTCCTCCTCTGACCGTGCCGGGGCGTCTGGCACTTTTGCTCTGAGCAACAGTCACAGGTCACTTTGCAACACGGTGGGAACACTAATGAGGCCTCACTGTGCAGTCTCCATCCCCACCCTTGTAACTGTTGGGGATCCCCACTCTGCACCCTGCCCTGGCTCATGTGAGGACAAAAATCATTAGAGAGGACGTGTCTTTCAACATCTTCTAGACATACTTACCACGATGCTTAAGGAAGTCACTGAGAGTGACAGACAGACAGAGAGAGAGGTATGCACGGCTCACGGTTACGAGGATCTTGCTACTATTTGTGCTTATTGCCAAAATACCAATAAAACAGAAAACAGAACCACGTGAACCTCCGTCTTTTCTTCCTCCACCCTGGCAATGCTATTTTTTTTTTTTAATTGATTTTCAACCTTGTTCATGAGTTTGAGTCCATGGACAGAGTGAAGTTCAAACTACTCCTTGTAATTCCCTACAGTAACAGTCTGGGTCTGTAGAGCCTATTACTAGAGAGGATGTGGGGTTGCATAACTGTATGGAATCTTCCGGAAAACAAACATGAACGGCATACCACTGCGTGAACAGAAAGCAAGTTTCAAAGAAAACTGGACTAAAGAAGACAGACAACTGCTCCCTCAGAACCAGATGGGCCTCCTCACTCTGACGGGAGGAGGGGAAAAAAAAAAAAGGAAAACAATTAGAAAAAAAAATTAAGACACAGAAGGTGAAGGGTGAGCGGTGACTTGTGCTTTAACGTCCTCACCTTCTGTGCACCAGCAAAAGCATGATAGTAACAGGAAACATAAGTCATTATGGCTCTTTCATCTGGTCGGGCAGTGCATACTACATCTGTGTGGAGAAAAGAAGGTTAACTGCTCGGACGTTCTAACACCAGCAGGCTCATGCTAAGTGCTTCCGCAGGGAAGCCAGAGGCGCCAGTCTCCCCCTCGCCCCCACACACTTATGTTGTAAAATCTTGGCTCAAATCAAAGAAGTCACACCTGCAAAGTCATCACTGTCTGTGCGCTTTTGGGAACTGCCGAGGGAAATTAAGCAACTGCCAAGGAGAAGGGCGTGGCTAGCCCAGAAGGGCCCTGAACTAGCAAGAGAGGCGCATCCCTGGTCGGAGTCAGGCCTTCATCCAGATTTAAGAGGATGTCTGAGCAGCACATTCCCAGGGACTGTCTACACTCCACACACGGAGGGCCCGAGGCCACTAAGATCCCCTCTGTAAGGCTCCCCAGAACACAGATGCGCACAGATCTAAACCTAGTGCTCACTTCAAAAATGGTTCCTGCAGGAAAACAATTTTCATAACCTCTTTAAAGCATGATGGGTAGTTAAGAAAGAGTTTTTCACCAATTTTTATTACAAGTAACAGTTCATGGGGCAAGTGGGCCAATTAAGCATTTGAAAATCCCCACTTAAGGTTAAGAGACCAGCATGAATGACATAAAGCCAGGCCCACAGCACAGGGGCAGAAGGCAGGATTCACCGAGAGGTCTGAGCTATCTGAGGAGAGTGGACTGGACGTTACAATCAAAGAGCAGCATTAATAAGAAAATATGAATACGATGCTGCCGTGGTGGCTAAGCCCGAAGGCAGGCAGCAAACATACAGAAGGGAATTCACGGAGCTAGTCTGCTGGGGGGTCGCATCACAGCGAGTCCCATCACAGCGAGTCCCATCACAGCGCGCTCCACCCGCAAGGCAGCCAAGTTCAGAGCTGCTCACCAGAAGATTCTTACGAGGGATTACTCCACAAAGGTAATAAATGAGTGTGTGAATCTTCCGAACCATTAAAAGGGAACGATGAAGAAAAGCAGTAAGAGGCTAGGAAGAGGAAATGAACACAGTGCCCATGCATCCATCTGCTTGGAAGGACAAAAGGAACGGACGTGTCCCAGACCAGGACGCAGGGACCAAGGCAAAACAAAGAACGGAAGAGAACTCTGGCAGTGACGGAGCAACGCGGACGGTGACCCAGCTAGTGGTTATGAGGGAGTGTTTAAATACAGAACTCCCCTTCAATTTTAGGATACTAGGGAGGCATTCACAAACTGGAAAATAAATTTACTAAACGTTGCTTAGATTCTCCTCTCTCTTGTATCCTGGCTATTGGTTTGAGTGGGAAAACTCTGGGCAGTTATTCACTGTATGGCAAGGTGGAAGGAGAGACCACACACATTAGAGAAGACAGATGGACAAAAAAAAGAGAAAATTAGTTCTATGTTCCTACTTTTCTGTTTTGTGGACTTTTTAAAGGGTTTTTGAGAAATCATAAGCAGAATTCTGAATAATGTGTTCAACTGTTTACACCCAATAATACAGATGCTTCATAAAACAGTGAAACTAATAAGTGGGCAACATTAGAATCCTAATTGAGAAGGTTTTTTTGGTTTGCTCCTTTGAGACAGAGTCTCCCTATGTCGCCCTAGGTAGCCATGGCGTCACAGCTCACAGCAACCTCAGAATTATGCGATTCTCTTGCCTCAGACTCCCAAGTAGCTGGGACTACATGCGCCCACCACAACGCCAGGCTATTTTGTTGTTGTTGTTGCAGTCGTCATTGTTGTTTAGCAGGTTCAAACCTGCCAGCCTGGTGTATGTGGCTGGCACCCTAACCACTGAGCTATGGGTGTCAAGCCAATTGAAAGATCTTGTATCTCTCCAATAGATATCTCTAAGTCCCACTCTGTGGTACCTGAGACTGTCATCTTATTTGGAAATAAGGTCTTTGCGGATGTAATCAGGCTAAGATGTGGTCCTGCTGGCAGAGGAGGGGCCCTACATCACATAACTGTGATTTAGAAGATACACAGATTCAGACGGGGGAAAAGGCCAGGTGAAGACAGGGGCAGAGACCAGACTGACACTGCCACAGCCTCTGAATGTCTGGGGCTTCTAGAAGCAGAACAGGTGAGGAAGAGGTTTGGGGCCCTGTCAACTCCTTGATGTCGGATGTAAAGCCTACAAAGTGAGAGAACGTAAAGTCTCCGCTGTTTTAAACCACTCGGTTTGTGGCGACTTATGACAGCAGCTCTAATACAATCACCCAAAACAAGGAGAAACGGGAGACTGACGACTGACTGTACTCAAGTCTTTACTTTTCCCCAAGGATGCTAATTAGTGAAAGCAACAGATCCCGGGGAGCAACAGTAACACTGAACTTAAGTTCCTCCAGGGCAGCGTCCACACCTCCTGCAGTGCCCAGCAGAGGGTGCTGTTCACAGGAAGGGCTCAGTACACGTGTTGAGTGATGAATGAATCCCAAATACACACCCTGAAGGGATGGTGTGCACGGGTCTGTGCTTTCCGCGGTGTAGGCAGAGCTCAGGTCAATTCACCAGAGAAAAAGGGCAGCCCCAGCAGGAGTGATGCTAATGGACAAAATACACAGAAGTTCCTCCAGATCTAAATTAAATGTAATTTAGACTAGTTAAAACCGTGGAAGGTCAAAGTTCTGAAGGTAGGTTGATGGTGAAATGTTCCATATTCTCTATCTCGATTCTGTAACTTCGAGCTGGATGAAAGAAGGTTTCGCCTTAAGTATGTCACAAAGGGATCTGTTTGCTACATGGTAAAAAAAATAAAATGCAGGAAATCCTTCTCTTGAAAACTACAAATGAAAGCATTCTGTTTCTTAGCCAAAAGCTGAACTTTCAACCAAATCTTTTCACTACATAGGTTTCGTTTTGGACAGGATTAAAAAACAATTTCTTTAACAAACTATGCCTGAAACTTCTTTCTACTACTCAGTGACAGAAACTTGTTAGGAAACCTAAGTTCTTCGGATGTAACTTATCTGTAAAGTTTTACTAATATATGTCGTCTATAGATTTTTGAGTAAACACAAAAATCTCACCTTCAGCATCCAACATTTTAGGAATATCCAGGTGTTTCTCTGCGATTTCCATGGCCAGATTGATATTTCCTACGGGGTCATCCTGTATGAAAACCAACACAAGCAGTTTTTTAAAATGTATTTTGAAACCAGATTTATTTAAGAATAATGTTTTCTATACACCTCACTTTGGGCAGGATGCACTCCCACCCACACACAATCTTAATAGCGTAAGTGACTTACTGTTTCCAATCACTGCGAATGGTTAGAGAAACATCAAAAATCACAGAAGCCACACAGCCCATGCACACTCCGATTTATAAAATGCGAACAAAAGGTTTAAGAAAACAAACAGCACTGAAAGAAAAGAACAGCAGAGCTTATTTTCAAGCCTACAAATAACAAAATCGAAATCGTTCTGTAAGAAATCGTGAAAAATACATTTTCCAGATTTCAGAAGGGGATCTTGGAGACTGTTTATGACGACACCCTGATTTTAAATAAAAACTGAGCGATAAAGAGATCAAGGAGAAGTCAAGGAAAGTGCTGCTGGGTGAAACTTGTAGCTAAGGAGTGTTTTAAGACAGCTACAAAGAGCAAAAATCACGTCTCCAGGGTATTAAAGCAAGAAGTACAAAATCTTAAAATTGTAAGTGAATTAGTGAGATGTCTGCTCCTAAGATCACGTTCATTGTCCACTATAAGCCTGGTTAAATATACATAATGTAATAAAAGAAACATAAGTGGAGGCGTGTAACTAAAATACTGAAAACAACGATGACACAGCGTTCCTTGTTTTGATCTATTAGAGAAATGAACTGTTCTGGGGTTGAAATGGGATGAGGGGTAAGGTATAAAAATCGAAATTAAAAGGAGGTTAGTCCGCAGGTGACTCCAATGAACGTTAACAGCAAAGCCTTTTCAACATTTTAGAGACGGGATTGTTCTCCACCAAGCACAATCCTTTTTAGACAGTGAAACGTTTAAAAAGTGCAGACTTGACTTATTCACAACACTCAAGGAAGAAACCAAAGTCAGCTTTCTGGCCTCACAGAGTATCAATTATTTCAAGCAAAAAAAAACAAAACAAAACTGTTTTAACTGAATGTTGTTTTGACAAAGCACACCACCGTCTGACTGGAAGCCGTCGTATCATGAGGTGAATCTTAACCTGCGTGTTCACACAAATGTGTACGAGGCCAAAGAGCTGAGAAAAAGTTTCTTTCCTCCAAAACATACAGAAGAGAGGTTTCAGCATTAAAAGCACACAGTGATGATTCTGTGCCTTCGTGAAAGTCATCTCATTCAGACTTGAACTTAAAGAGATAAAATGGGGCAACGAAGTATTTCCTAGTTTAGCAAGTGGCCAAGTGGCCTTGGGCGGGATTACTAACTTCCCACCTTCTTCATCTGCAAAACAGGGACAGGTAATAGAAGTACCTGTCGTATAGGGTTACTGTGCATTGTGAAGACTGAATGAGCATGTATGTGTGTGATTTCAAATAAATATGCTTGTGTGTATATACATATGCATGATTTTTTGTTCTGTTTTTTTTGTTGTTGTTGTTGAGACAGACTCTCACTATGTTGCCCTGGGTAAAGTGTTGTGGCTTCATGGCTCATAGCAATCTCAAACACTCTTGGGCTTAAGGGAATCTCGTGCCTCAGCCTCCCAAGTAGCTGGGACTATAGGTGCCTGCCACTATGCCCAGCTATTTTTTGTTGTAGTTGTCATTGTTGTTTTAGTTAGTCTGAGCTGGATTTAAACCCACCAGCCTCAGTGCATGTGGC